GGCGAGGATCGAAAATAATGTTGAGCCGGGCCCGTGGTAAAACGCGCGGCCGTCTTCCATTATCGCCTAATTGGATGAAGATGCACATCCTTTTGTCCCTGGCAAGGGAGCCACGAGCTCGGAGTCTTAGCCGCTTACAGGTGATTTTGCCCCGTCTTTAGTGGGCATTAGCCGATCCGGGTAGGTAACGACGAGTCGCGTTTAATTGTTTTGCTCGGAGATGTAATTAGGGGGATAGCCAATGCCGCCTGCCGATTGTCCGTCGAGATGACTTAAGGTATTCGCGGGCCGTTTAAGTGCTCCATTGTTGCACGACATCTTTGAAAAGCGGAGGCGGAGGCGGCGGCGGAGGCGGCGACCGAGACGCGAGCGACGGAGACAGAAGCGGAGACAGAAGGCGGAGGCTGTGTTCGTAGGTGGAGGACGAGGCCGAGACAGAGGCGCCCCTTAAGTAAGAGTTAATCGCTACCATGCCCACCCTATTCGACCCCTATCTTTCGTTCAGGCCTTCCGCTCGGCCTCTCTCCTCCCCCCGGCCATCGTCCGCGTTTCTGTCCTGACGCGTTCGCCCGCTCGTGGGATCGGTATGAAGACTCCTCTCTGCTTTCTCACGAATTCCACGCGCTCCTTTCGGCGAACCACGTCCTCCCACCGCGCCCCCGGCCGTCTTTCTTTGCCTGCCGGAAATTTCGATCCGCGAAAACGGCCGGGATGCGACAAGCCGCGCACAGCTGCGCACAGAGACGCTCGCCGACACGTGTACGCGCGCGTTTCCCGGCGTCGGATCCTTGCCGCTCTGCGATCGGCAACTATCGACGTCCGTAGCTCTCCAATCGGAAGCCAGCCGATCGATTCGAGATCGATCGCGAACCGAACGATTCCGGAAACGTTGGAACAGGTTTTACCGAATCGTGGCGCCAATCGTGGAATAGCCAGTGATCGTCTAGAATTCGTTCCGCCACGAATCGGTTCCAAATTGAAATTCTCGAAGCGATCGATCATCCCTTGCGACCGCGAGACTGTTGTTCGCGAGACCCGGAATGACGCGTGATCGCGTAATAAAGCGTTAGTTGTGACAAAACGCGACAGGCTGCGGTCGTCGTCGATCATCCGACGTTTCGAGGGAGATCGTCTCTATTCCACGGTAAACGCTATCCCGCGCGCTACTCGCGCGAGCAAAGTGCATGGAAAATATTTGAACGGCCGCGAATCCGGTCGATCCGCTTTAACCTTTTAGGCACGGCTGAATTCTGCGCGAGGCTATTTCCCTGGACGGCAGATTCTGATATGTACTGTACAGAGTCTGATACTGTATATTCTGTCTATATATACAGGGTATCTCAAAAATGTCTCGCAATCCGAAAGTGGCGGGTTCCTCGGGCCATTTGAAGCAACTTTTTCCTTTACAAAAATTTTCTCCGAGGCGCCGTTGACGAGTTATTAACGAAAAACAGTGACCAATGAGAGGCGAGCTCAGCTGACGCGAGGCAACCGAACCAATGAGCGGAACTGGGCTTCGTGCGCTGGTTGGCTGGGCCGCCTCGCGTCAGCCGTACTCGATTCTTATTGGTCACTGTTTTTCGTTAATAACTCGTTAACGGTGCCTCGGAGAAAATTTTTGTAAAGGAAGAAGTTGCTTCAAATGATCCGAGGAACCCGCCATTTCCGGATTGCGAGACATTTTTGGGACACCCTGTAGACTGTTGTAAATCGATGTGAAGACAAAAGAAATGTGAAACAATGCATATGAAGACGATTATTTAATTCGAACGGAGAGCGAGTGAGCTACTAGAGCGAGCCACTATAGTGGCGCGTCGTGCCTAAGAGGTTAAGAGTATCTTGCATTGCATCGTATGCACAAAATGTTGTGAAAAAATTGCATGCAATTTTACGATATTTTAAACAGATATTTCACAGCTTTTTATTTTATTATTATATTAGGATATTAAATGTCCGGTCGAAATCGAGAACAAGAGAGAACAAAGAAATGTGAAACAATGCATAGATAGATGATTATTTAATTCGAACGGAGAGCGAGTGAGCTACTAGAGTGAACCACTATAGTGGCGTGTCGTTCTGAAAGATGATATCCGCGAAAGCCACTATAGTGGCTCACTCTGGTAGCTCACTCGCTCACCGTTCGAATTAAATAATCGTCTTCACATGCATTCTTTCACACTTATTTTGTCTTCACATCGATTTACAACAGTGCACTCCCTTAGCACTCCGAACCATTCTGGACGTTGGCTACCAGCTACTCGGCGCCACTTCTCGGCAGAAACGGGCATTTACAGACCCTCGTATTATTTAGTATGGTTTTGGAACTAACTAACATATTATAATGATATTGAACTTATATGAATTGGCTGAAATCGAGAAATTTGCAAAAAAATCAATATTTTATTTTTATAATTTTGTTATTGTTTGTTTTATAATTTTGTTTTGTTGTTGTAATCGCTGTCTATGCGAACTCTTTCTCTCGTCACCTTGTTTCTTGGACGATATCACTATCACTGCCATCAAAACGATAGACTAACTGTAGAAGAAAACCTTCTACAGTTAGTCTTTCTAACATATCTGTATAAACGTCTATCTGGAGCTCATCTTGGCTACTACTTGTGTCACGAGACTCATTCGTGTTTGAACGTTTTGCAATTGTTCTAATAAAAAATATGAATAAATACATAGGTTGAAAATTTCTAA